GATGTTTTAAAGCCCAGTCTGCCTTGGGTTTGTTCTCAGGTGCAGAAGGTGGGAAAACCCCCCAGGCCCCTTTTGGTGCAGCCCCATTGAAGAGCAGGAAACCGCAGAGCAGGCCCAGCCCATCTCCCTGCTCAATGTTCCCTTTTGTCGAGATGCTTTTCATTTTATGGCTCTCATTTCCAGCAGAATTAAAATATAAAAGAGGGGGGGCTTCATTTAAAACAGCTCCCTGGGTGTGAAAAAGACCTTCCTCCTTAAACAGCCCAGTCCTTTGTGAAAATTCATATTTACAGACCTTTTAGGGTGTAGATTACTTAAGTACACATTTAAAGGCTGGTTTAAAAGCCAGATTATTGGCCCAACAGACCATAAAAGCTCCTGCAGAGATACTGCAGTATGTATTTCTATTTTGGTGCTTTGAAATGCTTATATTTATCAGCTCACTTGTTGGGTTCAGGGCTGTGTGGTGAATATTGGCTATAAAAAGGAAATGGTCATTATAAATGTGTAAAAAGGAGAGGAAGGGACACAGGGAAGGGGTGGTGGGTGAAGTTACTCAGATTTTCTCAGTGGGGATTAAAGAAAAATCACTGGGAACACCATGGTGATGATGTTTTAGATCAAAGCCAAGGCAGAAGGGATGGCAGAGTTTTGCTGCTTTGCTGCAGCACCTTCAAAGGCTCCAGGCTGGATTTCCAAGGAACATCCAATCCACAGGAAATCTCCTCCTGAGGAGCCTTGAAAATGGGGCAGATCCAGCTGCAGTCCTCAATTTCTACCTGCTGTGGTTTCCCTCAGTGTGGGAATGATCTCTGCTCACTTCCACCAAACACTAAATCAGCTCTCACAAATGTCAGAATAACAAAAATAAATTAAAAAAATAAATAAATAATAAAAAATAGAAATAAAATAAATTAAAAAATTGTTTCATTTCTGTTGACAAAAAGCTCCACAATCTTAATTCAGATCATGCAAGGCCTTAATGCAGCACAGCGTGAATAAAACCAGATTAATTCAGTGCTCCTAGGGCAGTTTATTTGAGACTACAAGCCCTGAAAGGTCACTGCCCTGTGCCCCTTATCATGGTCAGTGTGAAACCAGGGGCTCAGAGATGCTCTGGGGATTTCTGAGCCCTCATCTGGCATCCTGCAGGACAGGATCACTTTGCTGTGGTTGTTTCTGGTGTCACTGACACTCTGTGGATGCCACAGGGTGACACAGAGTGGGTGACAGGGAAAAGTGCTATCAGTATCATTTTACAGCATTTGCACTTTCCCTATTTCTGCATCATATTTTAGACCAAAACCTTTTCAAAACATCATTTTTGCAGCATTTATTAGAGCTGTAAAAGCTGGGGGGTGTTAATCTGCATCCTGAACAGATTTCAGTGGGGCTGAAATTTTATTTCCACATTCCCAAAGGACAGGGTGGGTGACAGGGAAAAGTGCTATCACTATCATTTTACAGCATTTACACTATCCCTATCTCTAGCATCATATTTTAGACCAAAACCTTTTCAAAACATCATTTTTGCAGCATTGATCAGCGCTGGGGGTTAATCTGCATCCTGAACAGTAGCAGTGGGGCTGAAATTTTATTTCCACATTCCCAAAGGACAAGGTGGGTGACAAAGTGGGTGACAGGGAAAAGTGCTATCAGTGCCATTTTACAGCATTTGCACTTTCCCTATTTCTGCATCATATTTTAGACCAAAACCTTCTCAAAACATCATTTTTGCAGCATTGATCAGCGCTGGGGGTTAATCTGCATCCTGAACAGGAGCAGTGGGGCTGAAACTTTTATTTCCATGATCCCAAACAGGAGCAGTGGGACCAAAACTTTTATTTCCATGCTCCCGTCCTTCTTCCTGAAGCTCCCCCAAGAAAAAAAAATTCTTCTTTTCCTTACCAATACAGACTGCTTGGAGGAGGATTTCCACGTCTGTGGTGTCACCTTTGCAGACTGGTGCCTCACTATGGAAGGGTAGGCTGTGACAACACAAAACACAGTCACACACACAGCAGCCCCTGCCACTGCCACCCCCGTGGTGTCCCCAGGAGCAGCAGCAGGACTGGAAGTGCCACCCCATTAGTTTTGCATTGCTCAACATGGAAATGCAGCCGTGCCCCGGGTGGGACACACAGACAGCCATCAGACAGATGCCTCTGCCACCACCCCATCAGGCAGGAAAAGGCAGGAGAGGAGGGCTGGCTAATTAAAACGTCTGAGGAATGCAGAGAGGTGGAATGCAATCAGCCCAATTAAATTCAGGCCGAGTCCCAGAGTCAGCGTTGTGGCTCTTGCAGAGAGCACTGCAGGCTGGTTAATTAGTGCACAGAGCTGAGCCTGGCCCTCCTGCAGCTCCTCTGGCAGCCTGAGAAGCCCTGAGCCCCCTGCAGCCCCCCAGAAATGTCACAGCCAATGTCACCGTGGCCCAGCACCCCCAGTTAATCACACCTGACTCTGCTTGGCAGGTTCTGGAGCTCCTGGATCCCACCCT